CTATAGAAATTAGACAGAAAAGGACTTGGTGCTGCTAATTCCGAGATTTTATATGAAAATGTATTGTAAAAGGAAATCAAAATGATAAAAGAAAATGAGTAACGTATTACAGAATACTTATGCGCTAACTATTTGTTTGTTACTGAGCAAAACATTTCAGTTTTCTCGTGTTTTTTTTAAGTACTACGTACTTAAGATACGTTTGGCGAAAGTTCCCAACGGACGGTGGTAGAAGGTAGTTATTCCATACTAAATGCGGACATTTAGACTGCACGGTTGGTGCGGTGAGGTGACTGGGCAATCGGCTGCCGTGCAACGTGTCGCGGGTTCGATTCTCGCACGGAACAACACTTTGTGTGATCCACAAATTGTTGTTTCTGGTCTGGATGTCATTGTGTATGCGAAATTGTATGTTTGTAAACGCATCCACGACACAGGAGAAAATCCTAATGTGGGGCAACGTATCATTTACAAAAAAAAAAAAATTGTGTACCTAACATTTATCTAATTCTACTTACATAGTTCTTGTCAACGTCCCAGGAGTAGAATCGAGGTGGTTTGAGTCTGACACTCTCTTAGTTTACCCAAGGTATGAAAAGTCATTTGAGGACTTTCTTCACCAAAAAAAGGTCGTAACTTAAAGCATTATTCAACATCATCTACAACAGCCCGAGACAGTTCGACTGCTGGACTATAGGAGGATAACTCCTCTACTCATGAGAGTTTTCCGTAATCTCCACACTGGATCAAAGGAGTTGGAGAACTTCAGAATCCCCGTTTCTGTCAGAAGTGTGGGAGAGCCATGCTTCGGCACGAATGGGCCGGCTCGACCCGAGTGATACCACGGCCTCACAGAAAACCGACGTGAAGCAACCCTTGCGTTGTGTTTCGTCGTGTGAGTGAGGTTACCGGAGGCCCAATTACCTTCCCCTTCCCCAATCACCCCAATCCCTGAATCCCCAACGATCCTCAAACTCCTAATCCCCAAAAAGCCGGTGACGCACTTATAACGCCTCTGGTGTTCCAGGTGTCCATGGGCGACGACGATTGCTTACCATCAGGTGATCCGTCTGCTCGTTTACCGGCTTATGCCATAAAAAAAAATTAGGCAGCTATAGCATAGAGCGTTCAGCTAATCAGTCCCGAACGAAATGGGCATTAGGTATGTTATATCATGAACTTATAAACCATTTATTCACAAGTTTCAATTAAACTTGTTACCCTGGCTTGATAAGTCTATTGCCAACAGAAGTGGTACTTCGATAATATCCTTGAGTGCCGACACTTGAAGGTAGTCTAAAGTCTAGACCTGAGCCCTGAACAGTCAACATGTTTAGGTAGAAATACTTTAGTAATTACAGTATAAATTGTCATGCTTGCGAACCAACATCGTCTAGGTACCTCATAGAGCAGAAAGGTGAACCAAATGGACTATGACATCGTTACATTCGTAGGGAACTTGGCAGTACCGCACCTGTGCTACGAGATCTAGTAAAATTAATGCCTTTTATTTAAACCATTAACAAAAGCCGCAAGTTTAACAGTTTAAACATTGTTTTGACCGCCTTTGCACAACTGCAGAAACAAAAGCTGGTGTAACATGGTGATTCACAGGTCTCGATGATGACGTATCATGCTTTCTTTCCTTTGTCCAGTTTTTCTAGACACAACTGCGTTTCCGCAACACCTGTTCAATGACGGCAATCAAAAATTTACAAGTGTTTGGACAGGTATAAGTTTAATTGTTCACCTGTTGGTGCCACAGCCAACATTTATGCAGTAGGTATCTAGGCTGCTCGTCGGGGGCTAAAACAAGACAAAGCAATATCTAGCACGTGTAACCATAGAGGTTGAATACTCTTAGGTTCATTACAAAAACATTTGTTCTTATTAGGAAAGCAAATACGGAACCGCGTCTGTTGGACCAGAATCAATAGTTTCTCTCGGCTCGGCTCGTCTCATCTGTCGTCATTTCACAATTACAACTCAGTAACTGTGTCCCACAGCGGATGATGAATTATTCCAGTTCGTTACTCACAAGGTCATCACTAATTACTTAGGTATATGAATCATCTGTCACCGAGCGTGTATTTTATCTGTACATCGATATCGACAAGGTGCGACCCGAGCATTGTAGGGCTGCCAAAATGTGGAATCATTTGATAATCTTGATAAGAAAAATGGTGACCGAAGGTCGCAAGTTTAAAGGCTAATGACGTCATTATACACGTTTGTTTGGCACGAGGACAAGTTTCAAACATTGCAGAGCTACGAATAGATTAGCGAGTGATTTCACGAGGGATACCCTGTTACGAGAAAGGAAGGAAGTAAGTACATTCTCTTAATTTAATATTATTTAAATAAGTACCTACCTAATTTAAATAATTGTGTAAAATAGAAAAAGAAAGAATAATCTATTTTACACGTTATAAATAAGTGACAAGTACAGATTATTGTTAGTTTATTAGTATGGTACAGATAGACACAATGTTCATGTCCCAAAGAAAAAGTCGGCGGCGAAATGGAACTATGTAGTTCAGCATGTGCAAAACAGGGCCCTGCGCTGGTATTCTACTGGCCCATTGCGACACGAATCATTGGTCGATTATAAAAAAAACTACAGAATATACACTTCGTGGGGCATCAATATAATTTCAACAATATGGATGTATTACCTAATTTAGTTAGTGCTAATAAAAACTATGCTATACCTACTAGGTACGTTGCACAAAAAACCTAAAAAAACTAGATATGAAATCTTTATTCTAACTGCATAGTCATCAATGGTAGTTCTAAGAATCTGATAAGTCTTAACTATAAGTAGGGTTGTATCTTGCACTTTTATAAAACGTTTTTATTTTCAGGTAAGTACTTTAGATACCGACAATTTTACTGTTGTACTGTAGATACCAACCTTGTTGTGTTAGACTCTGGAAGTGTTAAACTTTTATGATTCGATTCTGGCCCTATTTTAACTTACCTACGATAAGACAGCTTAGGACAGACACTATCTGACAGCTGAATTTCAAAATGTATAGATTTCGAAGTAAGAGAAATCATTCTCCGTCAGTAAATACTTACTACTAGACCGGTACTCAACTCGATATCGAGTACTTAACCTATTTTAAAACACAATGGGCGCTACTTTTCTAATCGCTCATTAATATTACTGTCACGAAAGCCTAAAACCACAATAACTCAAAATCCATAAGAGACGCCGATAACATTGTAATTCACCAGGTGTTGTATATTATAGCTGTCAAAAAGTTATCAGGGACCTTCATTTGTATGACAATGAGTTCGCGAACGTGCCAGCCCTATAAGTATCGTCAAACATCGTGCGCTGCGTGTGCGCGAGCCGGGTGGCAACAAGCTGTCTACTCGCAACCAATTATCTATGCCACTATAATAGATACAGTAAATTATTATGAGGGTGTGGGTAATATACCTAACAATAAATATTTGAAATTGGGTAATACTTGTACGTCAACGCTCATAAATCATTCAAGCAAATATTTTTCTAATATAAATATCTAGTGCATTCCGGAAGAACCCTGACTACGTGGCTTATGACTTGCAAGTAGAAGTGTGTGGTTTCCAAGAACCACATCCTAAACTAACATTAGTTTGTATTGCGTCACGGCTTCACGGGGTTACCTGCGTGCACTAGTTTGGAGAACGCGCTGCCATGGGGTTCTTGTCAGCCGCTGAAATAAAAAGATGATAATTCTATAAATAAATACGACCGCATTAGCGGAAGCTGGACACCCAATTAGCAAAGCATTTTATCTATGCATCTATCCATTAATGTGATACTTAAAACTACTGAGCCGTGATGAGGTTTGATGATAAAAACTATATTTTATAGTGTTGTGCTTAATGAAAATAGACGTGAAATACTGTTTGGATTGCTAGCAATAATTTTGATACTATAGATAATACAAATCAGAATAGAATTGGATATCTTGTTAATATGTAGAATACAACTACTAAATAGGTCTTCACCTATGTAGCAACAATCGAATACTGTGTCATCATTATCTCATTATTGTCGCAAAAATTCTTATGAAATAAAATATATTGGTAAGTACGTAAGTAAATTCGTATGTAATTATTGACATAAATATCTTGTAAGCTATGAGTTACTTAAGTTATTTATATGTAGGTATAACTTGTACAAAGAAAATTTTATGATGTAAATCGTCGTCACAGTTTATTAAACCTCGTATTACCTAATTACCTAATCATTTTTCTAAAAATACAGCATTTTACTCTGAAATTCTTATTAGATATGATGATTAATACCTTGATTAACTCAATACCTATGTAGATGTCGGAGTCTCTGGATTGTGGTACTGTGGATACCCAACTATCATTTAGTTTAGACTTGAAGAATAAAAATATTTTGCTTTTATTTATCATCTCTAAAATAAACTTATTCAATTTGTTTTACAAAGACTGCAAATACTTTACAATAAATAATCATTGTTAGTGGCAGTAATCTAAACTAGTCCATTTTGCTTATAAAATTCTTGTAAAATATCAGTCGATAACATTTTTAGCCTTGTTTCTTCATTAATCTTTTTAGTAAAACAAATTTTAGTGCAATTATTTTTTTATTTCTACGTTGAATTAATTCTTAATAATTTATTCTTTAGTACGAAATGAAACACAATGATGCCTTTTTCATTGTACAGCTTTTCAAAAGTTACCGCGCTGTCTATGATATTCCTCTATCTTGTATCAGCGCCATCTGTGGTATAGACGAAAAACTTGCCAACTCAATAAATAAATATGTTTCTTTGTTTGATTTTTCTATTGGTGTTTTATATCTTATTTTGACGATTTCAAAATGTAGGAAGTGTAATATGTATTTTTTTGTAAATTAAATCTCGAAAAGTGGAAACAAACAGGTTTGATAAGATATTCTGATTCGAAAAGTGGCGGTAACTTGAAAGACCCACAGCGCCACCTTCCGGAATATAAGAGGAACCGTAGTGAACAAAGAGAGCTAGCTAGCCACCACTAGAAATTAAGGTTGTGTTTTATCTTTTTCATACTAGTACAGACTACGGTAGTGTGAAAGAGACACCCGGTACACTTTCGGCCATCATAACCATCTTTCTTTCTTGTGCAACTGTTTCTCTTCGTCCGTGTACTAGTGCAAACGCAGGATGGACGCCATTCGCGCGAGATAATTTTTTCATCGCTCGTGAAGCGAGATTTGAACGCGTTCGGTGCCGGGCGTGGAGCTATGCTATAGTGTATCAAGTGTACGGTGCTTTCGGTCTGGCGGTGCGGTGTGGAAGTGGTCGGTTCTGGTCGGAGCTGAGGCTCGGCTGGAGGCAAGGCAGCGAGGCGAGGCGCGTGCAGCGCAAGGCATGGCGGGCGCGAGCTGAGCGCCGGTCGCGGCCTCCGGTGGCAGGCCGCTCGCGCTCCGCCGCCGGCCCGATGAGCGGGGCACGTTCTGCGCGGCGGAGGTTATTTTATGGGTATTTGCGTGAGCTGCCGGCGCCGAGAGCGGAAGGCACCAGAGAAGAGGTCGGTGCCGGGAGCGGGCGGGCCCGCTAAGGGCACTGCGGCAGCAGAGCTGCTGCCGCGCCGCGTTGACCAACTGACAGCCATGGCCAACTCCATGTCCAACATCAAGATGACAAACCCTCTCAAGGGCATCGTTAGCAAGCGCCGGAAGCGCTACATCAAGGACGGATTCAACCTGGACTTAGCCTGTATCCTTTTATGTGTTAAAGTGTTGTTACCGTGCGCCCGAACGGCCCTAACGGGCCTGAGATCGATGTTGTGTGTCGGTGAGTCCTTTCAGTGATCTAATTCGAATTCCCGGCCTTGAGATTTCATCAGACCCAAATTCCCAATACAGTTTCATTTATCCTTGTGAAACCACCTTGGAATTAGCGTGATAACCTGGCTTGACCATCCTTTTAGTTTTGTCAAGGGCACTCAATTTATAACCTATAAATTACATTCATAAAACTCTACTGATAAATGTTATGGTATTTTCAAGCTTTCAGCTAAATAGGGAATGTAAATAGGTAATAGAGATTAGATTTTAGGTCCTGACACGTTCATAAAGTCATCTGACAGGTCATATTAGGGTTACAAGGTCTCGTACAAGTACATACGCGCAAAACGTTGGTTTTACTGCGAAATTAAGCAATATAATTGTGTTGAAAATGCATAAATATATCGGAAACACGATTATACACGCAACTACGATTAAATTTTCGTTTGCAACGCGACAATTATCTAACGAAAGAGCAATGAAATCTCGCATGGCAACAAGATGTATAACCTATAACTTTGTATATATAGGCTTATAGTACATGCCTATTATGTCTGTGTACATAGAAACTATCTGATAGTCATTGTAGAGTGGTGTGGAGTGTTATGAACTATAGTATCTATAGGTTTTTATCTGATTACATTCAATGTGTAAAATATCTTAACATTAGCTATACTTGGTTATATTTTTTGTTCTGAAGTTGAGCGAGCACGGTTCAATTACTTTTTTCTAAAAAACTGCACACTATCATAAATTTTTATGTAAATATTGTAATCTTTTAAGATTTATAAGTTGGTCAAAAGGTGTTTTAGTACTGTTTTTGCTTAAATATTGAATGGTTTTATAACAAGACATTGTGTGTGTCGGAGCTTGCCGTAAGTCTAGTGAAATTAGTAGAGGTACTTTGTAGGAAGTATTTAATAATACAGATTACAAATAAACCTTTATCTTGCCATGAATAAGACTAAAGTATGAATGTCAATGAAACTAAGAATTTCATTCCCAATAAAATTAATTTCGTAGGGACAGCGTTACATTTATAGCATTCAGGTATTTTGTAACCTAGGTTTTTAACTAAGATAGATACTTATTTTGTAACATTTCTATTAAGATCACAATCTATCTAATTAGAACCTTTTTATAGCAGTTCTAACTTTAACATGATCATAATGTTTCATATAAATAAACTTAAAACTTTTTGTTTTCGTCATAGAGCTGATTGTCATTGGCTATTAAAAGTTTGATGAGTAAAGTATATCAAATACATACTCCTTCCTATCCTTATTTAGAAAAGTCTATACTCTAGTATGAAATTGGGTCCGGTGTATAGCCACAATATCACCCCCTATGACATGGAACTCTATAATATAACTAGTGAAAAATGTTACATTTTAATGTGCCCTTTGACAACCAGAATATATTGTGTTCTTATGGTCTATGAGCACTTTAGAAGAATTTATGTTTCGACTAAAACACATAACATCATAACATCACACCTTTTTATTCCCGAAGGAGTAGGCAGAGGTGCACATTTCGCCACTTAATACCACTGTACAATGTAACACCCACTTTTCACTATTTATGTAATAAGTCCCGTGTAATAGGGGGTGAGCCTATTGCCATATACCGGGCACATTTCCAGACTCCGTGCTACTACTGTGATTTTTAAAACCCAAGTAATACTTTGCTCGACCCCCGGGTCGAACCCGAATCGAACCCGAGACCCATTGCCCGGCAGTCGCACTTGCGACCACTCGGCCAATGAGGCAGTCACGACTAAAACATACTCGAAGTAATTTGTTGACATAAGTATCAATTACCCTATGTCAATGAAATGTAATAAAAATAGTAGTCAATTGCTTAGAAACTTACGAGTGGTCAAATTAATATGAATTAGCTAGTTTCTAAAACCATCAAACTTGGTTAAAATAAGATGGAGTACAATGATAATTAACAGTAACTTTCTTATTATATTTAAGCTCAATACACCAATACAATGTGTGATACATATTTAGTAACACTAATTCAAGTACTTACTTCTTCCAGACGACCATTGGATGAAATTTTTTAAATGAATCTAGGAAAGGGTAATCTGGCACAATTATATAAAAGAAATCAAAATAGAAGAGAATAGTGAAACAATAATTACAAACAAACAATTTGCAAACTACATTAAAAGATACTAAAAATATGAAAATAGATATAATACTATGTAAAAAATGAATATTATATAATAAATATATAAATGTAATATGATAACTACATATAATTATATAGGTGCTGTGTGTGTGTGCTTATTTTATTTATGTATGTCTAGATTCATATAGTACAAAATCAGTGTTCATATTGCAAAGGTCGTTCACCCACTTATGCAGCTAAAATAAGGTTTTATATCACATTTGCTATCAGTATGATAGCATTTAATATTACATTATTAACAAATTCCATGTTTTCTAAACTAAAAATGTTTAAATAGACCTTGCTACTTTGGAAATAGAGTCTTAATTCATGTTATTGGTTTTAATATAAAAAAATATTTTGAATGACTCAATAAATATTCGTTTTTAAATATTATGTTAGTAAAGAATAATTTCATTTGCTCATGTAGATTGAGTAATTTATTAAAATTTTAGGATATATATATGAAAAGTGGTACTCTATACCTTTTAGTTTATTTATTACGCCTTTAAGTATTTAGGTACATATTTAATAAAATTATTAACCACATTTTACAGGTTTAATAATTTCATAAAACTTTTATTTATTAATTAATATTAATACCTAATTTTACTACCTATTTTATTTTAACTTTCAAATAAAATTAACATTTATGACAATTTCCCTTTTTTTAAACTGGTTTTATAATTAATATTTTTATGTATTCAATCTTATCATAATATTAATAAAACTACCCAAATTATAAACACTTGTGACGAATTAAGGTCCTAAAATCACCAAATATAATTTTGGTAAAATTGAGTCTTTGCAACTAATAATGTAATTTTATCCACATTTCTTGTTAACCACTTGAATTGAAGTGATCATGTAGGTACTTACATATAGAAACGATAGGTTTAGGACAGGACCTAAATGCCTACTTGTATCATAATACTAACCCAAAATATTTTTGGTACTGGCTCTACTAAGGGTACAATAACCTAATTTTTGGTAGTGTTTCATAGGTGCTGGTGCATCACGTACGCTTGTTGCTATGCCGTAAATAATAGTTATATATCCTAAAAGTCACACTGTAATTTCGTGTCGTGTTTTACAAATTATGTTGGCTTTGGCGAAATTTTCAATTGCACGTGCAATCGACATACATGCTGTTTCGCCATACTGTCACTATCTTTAAATTTAATAGGTACCTACTTACTACTAAGTACCTATTTCGGAATTTTCCTTGTTTCGTAATTTACCTAACCCCACACAACTTTTTTTGATTAATACTTATGTTTAAAGTTCACCCATTAGACATGACAGCTGAACAAAAAATCTAAAAAAGTAGATATTCAGAAAAACAGCCATAAATTCAGAATGTGATTCATTAATTCATTGCATTTCTTGCATTCATACTTCGCAACTTTTCTTCGCTTTATCTTAAAAGTTTGTTGCGAAGAAAAGCTGTTTTTCTCCACAACCCATTAGTTAGATGCTGAAAAATATTAAAGATTCAAAAGTATGCAAAATCAGGAGAATTAATTACTTATCTGTTCATAGTAAGTTACATAAAAACTTCTCATACCAATTCACTAATTTTCCGACACAAATCATCTAACATTATTCACGCTAAAACTTAAAAGAAAGAGCCATAATGTAAAATATAAATCTCGGGCCACAGAGTTAAAGCAAACTTTATAAATGACCTTCGGTCGCCATTCCGCTTGGCAACAGCATAATACTCAATTGATTCCAAAAGGTATCATTAAACCGTTCTTAATTTAGAAGTTACCTTGTGAGCTGAGCTTTATAAAAAACTTGACAAGCATCTATGTTCATAATAATGTGGGTTCTGTATAAAAAAAATGTTCCGTACGAAAAAAATGTAGGTGTAGAACCCAAGAAGTTGATAGGTAGGTTTCTCTGCTTTCGATAGAGAATGCATTTTTTTAAGATAGTTATTATTGAGAATGGAAATATGTAAATGTATCTTACTGTTAGATAAAGGAAGTAATCGTATTATATCGAAGTTTAGTGTTGAATATAATTACACTGTAACGTGTTTCTTAATGATTATGTTAATTAAGATACCTATGGAGATTAACAAACTCGGTGCTTCGTCAGACAAATGTTACGTACAGATACAATAGCTTCTGAAGGAATCCTAAAAACGAAGTAGTGAAACCAAGGCTGAACACATAATTATCTACAATTAAAAACAAATTACAACAAAACACTAACTAAGTAACCGCTTACTAATTTAGCTGTATCAGATCTGAAACAAGTGTTTCATTAAGTCTAGGCATTATGACTGATTTTACTTTATTGAGCTGACTTTTTAGGACGTATCAACACGTGTTGCGTCGACCGTAGTTTCGTTTTCTGCTATGATTTTAAATAAAATTTGGTATGCTGTAACTGTACCAGATGCGAGGCGAGACGATACTTACTATAGTTATAGTTTCCATTTATAGAATTCTGCTTTCTTATACATATACGTAAACTGTGTAAGGAAATAGTTCAGTTATTGGTTAGTAGCTAGAAAGAAAAGATATCACATTTTTATGAGATCAGTCATATTATCGTGCTCTTAAGATTAATTAAATATTCGCCCCGTGCAGATATTTTGCATTTACTATTGTAATTTATGCACATAAATAAATAGCACGTTGTAAAAAAGCTCCTATATTGTTAGGCATAAGTATACTTATTGATTGCGATAACGCGGTGCTTACATCTCTGTATAAACACCTAGTATTGATTTATTAT